ACAATGTCGCAGTGGCCACGGAACATCGATCCCTCCAAGCGTTTGGCCGCATCGGCATGACAAGCGAAGACCTGACGACAGTGGACGCACACGTTCGTCGGAGTGAGCATTCGGCATAAGTTTCGAAATCCGTGAACTCGTCGAAGGTGGTTCATAAGATCACGACGATTCGAAAAAAAAAACTCGCATCGCACGGCTCGGCGCCGCGGGTCTCGGAGAGGGGCCAGCATTTCCAAAGCAAAGCGGTCGCCTCGGTCTCGATCTCGACCTCTGCTCGTCCTTCAACGGCGACCCCCAACGCGCATCGTGGGTCGCCATTTCTCGAGGCCGTCTGCTGTTGTAGCAGCTCGGCCGCAGCCCCATCCAGGATGTCCCGAAGGGGGGGGGGGGGGAATAGCCACCGTGAGTTGCCTGGCCCTGTAAGCGGCACCGTCGATGGCTGAGAAGAAAGAGGAGCTCGCCGTGTCCAGCAACAGCCGAAAGTCAACAACAATCTCCTTGGCAATCTCCTGATCAAGCGCCTCCGAGACGGCCAGAAGGTCATCTCTGAGTTGAAAGAGCCAGGGGCATGCAGCAGGCGAGAGGGATACCTTCGAAGTAAGAGGGCTCCCTGCTTCTAGCGACCTCTTCCCGAACAGCGCGCATAAAACCTGTCGGTGGTGTGTGGAGCGGGCGGCCCAGCTCTGAACTAGTCGAACTCTACGAATGCGAAGTTCCAGTTGGGGCCTCGAGAGCTGCCAGTATTCCAAGAGGGCTTTGTTCGACATCGATTTCGGGTGGGCGCCCTCCCAGACCGCGGCCTTGCCAGCCATCGCAATCCTGCAGAAACGCGCGAGGGTGGCCTCCAGCTTTCCCAGCTCTGAAGATCCCAAGACAAACGCTTCCATCCCACTCAGAAGTGCGTTGAGCCCGAACCCCTGGAGTAAAAGCCTCTTGAACTCCCAAAGGATGTCGAATTGCCGGACCGACCCCAGAGAACGGAATGATACCCAGGCTGCTGAAACCCGTCTTTCAATTTCATGATGAGCGGTGTCTCGGAGTACCAGGTGTGGCCCCAGGTACCTAACTTGTTCACGTATGTTGCCCTCCAGAGAGGCGCCCCCCTCCTCAAGGTCTGCGTAAAGAAAGTGCTGTGGGCCCCGAAGTAAAACATGAACTCCTGCTTCTGCATGTTTTGGCCAAGCCCCACGGGAGACAGCCTGTCGTTTAACAAGCGGTCGCGATGCTTCAGCTCATCGATGAACTGTGGAAGAGTCGTACTGTAATCTGCAAGCACGATGGAGTGAATGTCGTCTGCGTACTTAAGGTGACTTAAATCGGCGGTGAGACTCCCCCACTTGGCCGTGAGCTCTGTGCAACATGAATCTGCCTGCTCCACGTCGCGTCGCCAATCCGCGATCGGCGCCGGAAAGGCGCCGTTGAATGCCTGCACCGTGAACAGATCACCCATGAGCCCTCCCTGCTGAGTTTTCATGACCACCCGACCCCCCTCCCCAGCAGGTAGAGCTACTGCCGCCTCTCGATAGCGGAGACGACAAAGAGCCTGATCTTCCTCAGCCACAAACTGCTGCACTGTCTCGTCCATGTTCGGCCAGTAGCCGCTGGCGAAAGCATTGCTCATGTCCTTAAAACATAGCCCGCGGGTTCGACGTGCTTTCCGAAGTCGATGAGAAACAGTGTTTGTAACCAGAATCGCAGCCTCCCTCCTCCTACCCTGCGCGAATCCGTAGTCCGCATCCACGGGCACGTGCTGCATCTTCTTAGCAAAAAAAAGCCTTGCCTGGAACAGGAAGGACGTGCACTACTCGCTTGCCCGCAGGGCCCTGCTTGTGACTTTTATGCAGAAGGGGGCCCCAGGCTGCAATTCCAATACTTCGGGACCACTTTATGTTGTCGCATTTTCTGAATCCCTGACCCAAGGAGGAACCAGAACATCTTGTTCGAGGGCGCTTTAGCAGGACTCCCAAGACCACCAGTTCGTCGACGCCTCCAGTTGGGGAACATGACCATGTGCCAGAGCTCCAACGGGGCGCAGAAGGGTGGGACGGCTCGTCGTTTAGGGGCATGTTTGATGTATCTCCTCATCTGACCGATGTCCTCCTTGACTTTCTCGTACATCTCCTCGTCCCCCTCCAAGTCGTAATCCTCGTCGTGATCCTCTCTCCACACCTCCCAATCCAATGGTGCTGCACTCCTACCTCCATCCTTTTTCGGGGTCGCCATGCATCTATCCACTGCTGCGAGGACGGCGCGCGGGAACAGGCCAGGCGCCCATCTCGCCGCTTGGGACCAAAACGGCAGGACGCCGCACGGCGGGAAGCCCTCATCGCCTCCGCGACCCTGTAGTGCAACCAGTGATCCGTCGCCTCCACTACCAGACGTGCACGGCGTCGCCGTGCTGCTTGGCGTCTCAGCTTGCACAAGCGAGTCGAAAGAATGCGCAGCTGCTCGTCGATGTGCTCAACATAAGTCGAGTGCGCATTCAACTTTTGAGGGCAAAGTTCAACTCGTTCTCGCAACAATTTCCTTCTCCACTCAGAATACATACTATACTCAGCAGCCTTGGTGTTCTCCGTTGTGAATATTTCCTTCCCAGCATTCGAAAGGGCCGATTCCAGTAATTCAAATATTTCATCTGGAGAGCCATGGTCGCGAAACCATGTGGGGTTGAGGTTGTTCAAATCGGCCTCCAGCTGCTCTAGAAAGTCGATGCGCCCCTGGCCCGTACGCAACGCCATCATGAAAGCATCGCGGTCCCACATCGGGTTGGCCTCCTGATCCTGCTGGAACTAGCCGCCTTTGTTGTACACTAGAGTCAGAGCTAGCGGTAAAGGATCTCGGGGCGGTGGTCCTTTAATCGGTTGAAGCTTTGCGCCCAGCCGTCGGAGTACACTGCACGAATACTTAAGATACTTCATTCCACCAGGACAACCAAAAACATCGATTCTCGAACTTCCCTAGGGATTGTAAACAGTGGGCATCACCTTTCCTCCACCCGTGTTGGCCGCCCACAAGTGATGTAACCCCAGCAATTCACGAAAATATTGACCACCGCCTCTTTGTAGTCGCTATTGCCATTGCCGATCGATTCACTTTCGATATCTATCCGTTGCTGATCACGGTAGACCGTCTCCATGCCATCATTCACATCTGTGTAGAACAGAGACGTACATCTGACAGCGAGCGAATCCAAAATACATCTAATCCATTTCGTGACCTCCATCACTGTGCGAAAGTAAACACCTCGCTGAACGCGCAGGACTGGCTGTGGTGAATAATATGCCGCTATCACGCAGACGTCCATGGCGGCTTTCTTCACTCGTACTCTCACACCGCGGCCTGGAGCCAGTGCAGGGCTGCCCCGGACTCGAGAGACGTCCTGCTCCTGCACGCCCTTCGGCAATACCACCGCGCACCCACACGATCCGTTTGACAGAGGTGCTTCATTTCGGCAATGGGGAGCTTCGATCACAACTCGCCCGAACACTCGTCGCCGAACGACCTCTGCGCCCTCCAAGCGAGTGCCGTTCTTCGTGCCCGCGAGGGCGAGGAAGTCGAAGTTGCTCATCTCGGAGATGATCTCCTCAAGCCTGCATTGCCCAGCAGATAATGGGTTGTATTCAAGAAAACGCAACATGGCGCGCGCGTGTCGCCCCGCCGCTGGCTGAAAGCGGGGGGTTGCGCCGAACTGTCCTACATCTCTGACGCCTGTCTCGCCCGAAACTCCCCGCCTGGGCCTCGGGGGCCAGGAGGAGGAGGAGAAGGAGGAGGAGGAGGAGGAGGGAGGTCCACCGAAGATGCCACGTTGAATCGACGGGCTGACAGCCTGCCCCCCGAGGCCGTCTCCCGCCGGGGCAGACCGCTTGTCGACCGCCCGGGGGGCAAGGGCGCCCGCCACGGGGTGTTCACCCCGCTGCTGCTGCAGAGCCCTTCGGCCTGGGCGTAGACTCGTGGGCTCGGCCATGATCCGCAGGACCCGAAATTATTTTGATGATGATGTCGTTGTTGCTGACGGTGATGATGGTAGTGATGATGATGATGATGATGATGATGATGATGATGATGATGATGATGATGATGATGATGACCGTGGTGATGATGAGGATGCTCATGATGATGATGATGATGCGTATGATGATGATGGGACATCGGCATCGTCGTCACCATCATCATCATCATCATCATCACCATCATCAGCATCATCATCAGCATCAGCATCATCACCATCATCTTCATCACCATCCTCACCATACTCACCAGCACCATCACCATCACCATCACCATCATCATGATCATCATCATCAGCATCGTCATCATCATCAGCACAAACAATCATCATCATCACCAGCATCCTCATTACCATCACCCTCAAGCTCATCCTCGTCTTCGTCCTTCTCATCATCAGCAGCAGCATCTGCATCAACATCATCATCATCATCATCATCATCATCATCCTCACCATCGTCATCATCAGCATCATCATCCTTATCCTCATCCTCATCATCGTCCACATCATCATCACCATCATCACAATCGTCATCAGCATCACCTTCATCATCATCAGCATCATCATCAGCAACAGTATCACCATCATGCGCATCAGCATCATCATCAGCATCAGCAACAGTATCATCCTCCTCATCATCCTCATCATCCTCATCATCATCCTCATCATCATGATCATCCTCATCATCACCACCATCATCAGCATATCCTGGCGTCCTAATTGTTCTCACGACGGGTGATCTTGCCATGTTGCGGGCCCCAGGAGCATCACGGATCGATCCGGGTCGAGACAAGCTGCAGAGGGCCCCCGTCGGGCCTCCAGGATGTCGTGCTCTGTCCCGACGTCG